TTTCTCTCTTCCATTTTGAGTCGTTCTGAGGAACTTTTGTACAATTGCCGAGTATATATCATTTTTTTTTTTTTTTAAATTCTTCTGTGTCTTCTTTATATGTATATGACTCGTGTATATAACGAATGACCACGCTTCAACGATATAATAATACTTTCGACAACTTCGATCATCCGGATTATCTCTCTCTCTCTCTTTCTTTATCTCATATTCTCTCTCTCTCGCGCTCTCTCTCTCTCTCTCTCTCTTTCTTTCTCTCGGTCGGTCGCTCGCTCGTTCGCTCGCTCGCTCTCGCTCTCGCTCTCTCTCTCGCTCTCGCTCTCTCTCTCGCTCTCGCTCTCTCGCTCTCGCTCACGCTCGTTCAATTTTTCATATTCTCTATTCAACAAATTCGAAGATTCTTGGCTTTATAAATAAATAACAACTATATGAAACAATACGCTCGGATCCTTTAAAATTACATAAATTTACAGGTCTACGATCTAAGGTTTCCACAAACCTATTTTCACACTTTTTCCATCAGTCAATCTCTCCATATCTTTTTCACCCTCTCTTTCCTCTAAATTTCTAGCAATCAATTTATCATTCATATATACGTCCTTTTGTACAATTATTATCATTTTTTTTTCTTTTTTTTTTTTGTTTTGTTTCGCATATACTCGTAAGCTCTTTCATCCTCTCATTCTCTCCTGCCTTTTTTTTCTCTTCTACTCTCATTGTCAATCAAACAAAAAAAAAAAAAAAAAAAAAAAAAAAAAGAAGAAAAGAACATTTATCGGTTCTTTTTTTTTTTTCTTCTTCTTCGTCTTTCTTCACATATAATTCACAATAGAAGGCAACGAGTTGATAAGCAATTAAAATTAAAAGCAGCGTCTTTTTGTCACATTATCGTAAAAGAATAAACAGCCTGAAATATATGAAGAAAATAGATCAAGTTTAAAAACATACGTTAAAGTGGTGGATATCTCTGTTGACCGATATTAATCACCAAACATAACCAAAACAATAACAATAATAATAATCGTATATTCCTTACTCTCTCTTTTCTTCCAATTCAGGATGGGTTTCGAATAGAACTGTCAGTGCTGACTGTCAGTGCTTTGCTTCTTTAATTTTTTCTTCTTTTTTTTCTACTTTTCTCTTTTCGATTCTTTTCTTTTTTGTACATAGGAAAAACGAATATGGCAATGACACGACCGCAAGCACGGAGCAGTTTCGCAATTTTCCGAAGCACAACCTGAGTATCTATTTCCTTTTATTATATCGTTTATCACGCATCCTTTCTTCTTTCTCCTCTTCTCTCTTCGTTTCTTTTTTTTTTTTTTTTTTTTTCATTTCCTCTTTCATCGAAAGACACGGTAAAGCCAAAAAAAAGTCAGTCTTCGGTCGACTAACCCCGTTATAATAATATGTTCGGGAAACGTGCTCAGATAGTAGTAGCGAAATGCAAAATGCTTGTTTTCGTTTAGGCACGTACTTAGAATTTGTTTCGCCTATCCATCATTCTCAAATTTGCCACGGTATTTCGTTTAATACACTACTGTTTCTCAGGCACAGCCAGATATAGACGCATTCTTATTTCGCTATCACATTCGTACGTATGTGTTAAGCGATACAATTTCTATCATGTACAGTGCTTACTTTTAGATCTTTATTCTTTTCTGCTTTCTTTTTTGTTATTATCATTATTATTATTATTATTATTATTAATATTTATTATCATTATTATCATCATTATTACTATTATTATTACTATTATTATTATTATTATTATTACTATTATTATTATTATTATTCCTTCTCGAGTCTCATTCTCTAATGGAGCATCACACGTTGTGTCACATATAACACCTGGTAATAGCAATAGAGTCTCTTATATTCAAGATTAATTTCAGACGCGCTAATACAAATTACATTACACTGAAACTCTCACCAGGTATCCTAAAAAGAGAACTATCTATTTATACTCGGTGTATTAATTAACTCGGTGAATAATTAAAAATCTTTATAAAGAGAAAAAAAAGGAGGGGAGGGGGAGAAGAAATATGGAACGGAAAAAAAAAAAAAAAAAAGAAGGGGAGGGAAATGATGTAGATCGATGGACCTACATGCTAATGTGATGGTCATTATGGAAAATCATTATATCAATTATATCTTATTTGTCCAATAAATAATAATTACTTATCCCTTTTTTTATTATTCGTTTATCGTTGCCGTGTTCTCGTCGAGATTGCCTATGAAATCTGGAAATAGGATATTCCGTATTGCAAATGATATTATTCGATTACTCATATTTCAACGCTACAATGTATAAATAATACCGCTGAAACCAACACAATACTTAGTGCCCGTTTAGTAGGATGTTTATGAGAGGGGAAAAAAAAAAAAAAAAAAAATGGATGGAAAGAAGAACGAAAATAGGAAAGGTCGAACAGCCTAAGTCTGTATGGTAGCACCGTTTTGTTTTTTTTTTTTTTTTTTACGTAGAGGGTAAAAATATCTATTTACGTGTTATCCGAGATCAATTCACAATGTTGCCTTTCCGTTTGCTTCTTTGAGCAAGGACTCCTCAATCCATTTCCCAATTCTTTCCATTCCTTGATCTTCGAATCCTTTCTACTCTCTTCCTCGTTGCTTCTTTCATTCAGACGATTGATGCTCGAATGATGCTTTTCAATCGTCGTCGATTCGATATTTGATTCATTCCTTCTTTGCTCCTTCCCCGATCTGCTTATGGAAATTGACGCTTTCGACGTGTCTTCTTCCTTAACCTCTGTTATCCTTTCAATTTCGCTCGTGACAGATCTGATCGTTCCATCAACATTTTTCGATTTCTTTGTATCTATAGGTGTATTATTAACATCTTCTAGCGTTTCTATATTTCGCTTTCTTTGATTTTCAATCGTCGATTTATTATTCAGTTGTACGTTCTCGGATGTGCTCGTTACATTCGACTCGATTTGACTTTCCGTTTCTATCTTATCGTTTTCTATATTTACATCCACGTAACACATTTTCGAAGCGTCTGGTGGTTGATTATCATTATTGTGACCAAGTGTATCGTAGCACGGAGTTGCACTAGGGGCATAAACATTCTCTAACTGATCATATTGGCTCATGGATTCGTTGCTTTGTTGACTGATCTCTGACATATTTCCCTCTTTAGCGTCTTCCTTTTTGAACAATTTTCTTTCATATTCCTTCAATTTCCTTCTCTCTTCATTCCTTCGCTCTTGTCTATTCAACATGTTTTTCCTTAAATCATCTTGCGATAAATCTGCTTTGGTGAACAAATGGATCGGCCGTTGGAATCCTTTTGCCGGATGGGGAGGAATCGATAATACCTCGCATTTAGAAAAACCCACTTCAGAAGATAGTAGATACTGCGTGAAATTATGTGGTCGAAACTCAATGCTTTGATAATTCTTGTATATCCGTTCCTGAAATAAGAAATAAGATTAATATATTTTTATATACAATATTATTCAATATTTAAATATATTTTTATATTTCTAATTGAAATGAAATACTCACTGTGAGATTTTTTTTCTTACTATAACTGCTCCAACCTTGAGGTTCTAATATTAATACTCCACTCGGGCGTAATTGTGCATACATACGTTTGAAAGCTTGTTTTAAACCTGCATCTCCGAAATTCAAATGTATCCATTTAGTTATCGATAAACAAAGAATCGCATCAAATTGTGGTTGTTCTGTACATAACAAGGAATCATCCTCGAGCACGTAATTACCCTAAAAATGTATACATATTTAGATTTCTTTATAACTTAATAATTTATAAAATTTATTTAATATATTTATAAAATTTATATAATTTTTTCTAATATGATACCTGTACAAAATTAACATTGTAAGGGAAACCTTTATGACTTTTATCTTTTGTGAAACCTGGAATATCTACTGGGCCATAATTGATTGGCATAGATATTGGGAAGAAGTTTACATCCTGATGATCACTGTCTTCATTACCAGCAGGAGACTGTACACAATTGACATAATGTTTGATATTTTTTCGAGCTATATTGATAAGTGTTCTATCAATGTCAATACCAGTTACACTGCGAGCAGAGAAATCTCTTGCAACAGAAAGGGTAATGTGGCCAATATTGCAACCAATGTCTAATACATCTTTCCCAACAAATAAATGTTTTCGCTGTGCAAATACTGTCAGTCTTGTGTCCATTTCGTTATGAGAATTGCGATATCCATAATACCTATTATAATTTCCATATTGATAACGTGCATCTTTCTCCCTGAATTTGGGCATTGTTTGTTTCTTTTTCTTGTCTTGACTCGGTCTATGTTGTGGTCTAGGCTTCCATGCTCCGGGTTGAGGAATTACAGGACTGACAATTTTATCTTTGACATCCAATTTTCTTAATCTTTTATCTTTAGGTTCCTCTAAACCTTTTAAACGTAATTTATTCTTGTCTTTTTGTGGACTTTCTGGTTTTGACTCTTTAACTTGACTGGATGTATTGATTGGTGGTGAATTCAATGGTGGTTGTTGCTGTTCTGTTTCAACATTTTCTGAAACACTATGTTCCATAGGTTCTGCAACATCAATACCATCACAGTCTTTAATTTTAGTTTCAATAGAATCGCTTGCATCATTCCCAGAACCAGAAGATGCTCGTTTTTTCTTTCTATTTCGTCGTTTAGAGCCCTTTTTTGTCGGTGATATAAGTTGTTTCTCATATTCATCATTGTCATTGCAATTGCTTAAGTTCAAAGGATCACAGATATTTGGTGGAATTATGACTTCAATAACTTCTTTTTTATGCTTAGGTGTTGGTAATGGGCTAGACTTAGGTGTGACAGCATTCATAGCTCTATTTATTTCCTCATCTTGCATGCTATTTAAATTTAAAGGATCACATATGTTACCACCAAGCAGAAATTTTGTGGGTGGAATAATTGCACCTTCCTTCTTTCTACGTTTGTATGGTGGAAAAAATTTACCATTGCTAGTAAAACTTTGTAGACGTTTTCTACCAAATTTAAAATGACGACTATCCTCATGTTTATGCTTTTTATGAGAAGAGTTAAATGTTTTTCTTGATTTATCATTTTCCTTTTTAGTAATTTGACTTACTTTAGTAGTCCGATCAACTTGTGCAGATGACATTTTTGGAAACCTAAAAAATAATTAAAGACAATTAGAAATGAATGATTGTTTTTGTATCAAAAAAAAATTAAATATTGTAAAAAATAAGTAATTCAAAAATACAAATATAAATAATAAATTTAAATTACAAGATTTTAATAATAAATATTTATTGACTACTGTACACATAAATTCTACATAGTGAACAAAAACTTTCGAAATAAAATTTCGAATTGACATTATATATGTAAATATAAAAATTATCATAATAGAGATATATAATACATAAAAGAAAAGACATTACATTAAGTTGTAAATTAATTCTTCTTATCGCATACAAGAAATGCAAATACATTATCTCATAAGAAATTATTACATAAAATCTTTTTCATATTAGGTTCATAAATTCAGAGCAATAGTAGGCTATCCAATCATTTGCTCGAAAACTCTTTACGATCATGTATACTCGGCTCTCTGCGTAAATTTATCGTTCCCGCGATCGCGCATGCGCAGATTATGGTTTATGCGTTCTGTAAACGGATGGTCGCCTGTGCCTAGAGTTTTCGTTCTGAATTTTTGTCCTTAATTGCCTTGCTAAACGTATAAACTTACCTTCAAACCTTTTGCACACTGCTTTAGTTTCACTTCGACGTACTTTTTGTTCGTATTAAGCACAAAAATCCACGTTTGTCACAAGATATGTGATGCACCCAGCTCCGAACTGTCGTTGAGCGCCCATCAACGATGGCGAATAGCTGCTTCGCTTGCTTTGCTCAAACTCCATTTTCTATGTGGGTACCCGAATGAGCCGAAGATAGCTTCGGCAATTTTCGGCAATCAAATATAATTTGATCGGAGAAAAACAATTTTTCAAATATCATATAAACATGAAATTCTTAAAGAATTGTAAAAATTATTGTAATTTATATATATAAATTTTCTAAAAACTATGTTTTAAATATAATACCTCCGAATCATGATATATATATATATAATATA